TTAATCCGGAACGGATTAACCTCGCTATGCGAGGCACCACTGTATATGATGCTTAATGCTTTTTTAAAAAAAATACTGGTCAAACATTTAACCCATTTTATTACTACTATTAGTTAGATAGCATTCTAAGAGCTAAAGTAATCTGGAGTCCAGACAGAGTGGACCACTGAATCAAAACAACTTTCAAAAGCACAGGCTTAAGAAGTTATATTCATTCTAAGTAGAACAAATATTTAGATTTAGTTTAACATTTGAGCAATATCTTCCTTACAGTTCTGTAGTGTTTTCTGTAAGTACTACCCTTGACTGTTGCTATTCACCTAATCAGTCAATCCAAATGCAACTGGATAAAATTTCACAGCTGGATTACAAGGGAGGGAGAAACAACTTCAGGACACAGATTGCACTGACACAAAGGCTCTGACTGTGAGCAAAACAATACTTCATGTGGGCACCTCAAAGTTGACACAAACAGGTGACACGAGATGAGAAATCAATAATATTTTGGACTTAAACCACCACCTGATAGCAACTGGGAGAAACTAAAATAAATTCACTTAAACTGTGTACTTCAAGAGGTTTGTTCCAAAACCAAACTACTAAGTTTTTAAAAAGATAACCAAAATTGCAGCTAGATAGATGATTCTTTCTCAGACAGAAAAAATGACACACCTAAGGCTAGAGCTTAGAGGCAGGAAAGAAAAGGCATGTGAATGCAGTTATTGGCTGAAAACCAAGATGTGCTAATACAGGTGAAACTGTATGTTATGTTGCAAGGGTTCCTGCTTCTCAATACAGAGATTTACTGTTGAATTCCCACACCGCGTTATTAGAACTGGAAAAGATCAAAACAAAGATGAAGTGTACTCTTGGAAACAATATGTTTTTCCAAAACAGAATGTACTAAATCTTTTTCATGCAATGCTCTGCCATGCTGGAATCCATAAAGACAGTAGGTAATGTCTCAGAGAAAACCTTGGTGGGCATAGTCTCAAGTTGCCAACAATATCTTTAACTAAAGCCATGGCTAGACCAAAAAGGTGTCATGTTTATTTTATTGATTTGGAAATCTTGTTAAATTTCTTCAGGTTAGAGGAATTGTGATTATATTGTTTTAAACCAGGGGTCAGGGAACTTTTTTACCTTTTACCCCGCAAAAAAATTATACACGCCGACATTACACCCTTGATTTGAAAGGAAGGAAATCATACATTATTTGAATTAAAAATATTATTGAATCTACACAGGCTGTGTACCGAACTAGCAGGATGCACCAAATTTGATAAAGATGTGCACTATTTTTGCTGGAACACATTGCACTCCAGCCATGGTGTGCTACAGGGAGTAGCAAGGTGTCCAATGTGCCTAGCAAGTTGCATTAAATTTTTGCTAGCT